AACAACACATCAGACAAGGGACTAATTTCCAGAATATAGGAACCTACAACACCTCTGGTGTGGCTCTGTGGGCTGATGCATCAGACTGCATAGTCATTTGAGCTGCAAGGTTGGTGGTTCAAGCTCACCAGCTGCTCCTTGGAAACCCTATACAGGGTCGCTATGGGTCGGAATCGACTCGACAGCACTTAACAACAACAACAACTAATAACAGATACTAGTAATAATTATTGAAAGGCTATATATTGTTACAAAGTTATAATAGTAATAGAAGCTGGTCAGAAAAAAAAGAGAAAAATCCACTTTTCTGAAATTATTTATTATCTTACCTTTACAGAATAGTAAGAAATAGTGATTCATGGGACTAAAACTGGCACTGAAATATGTACATTGTTCTTTCATAAAATTACATGAAATGCATTGACGATTCAATAATCCTTCCGTAGAAGCACTGGGGAAAGAGAAAGAAAATTAGAAATGCTACCATTCTAGGCACTTGAATGTGTGCTGTTGTTGTTTTTAAATGCCATTGAGTTGATTCTGACTCATAGCTACCCTGCAAAGGGTTTCTGAAGAGCCGGTGTTGTGGGTTTGAACCGTTGACATTGTGGTTCATAGTCCAATGCTTCTCCTACAGCTCCACATCAGGAATCCTGAATGTTTGTATCCATATTTAAATATTAACACAAAGGAGCTACAACAGTGCTTGTATAGAAGAAGTTCTTTGTAAATCACAGTTCATCAAACAAATACATTGTCAAATTCCATAGGGGTAAGAAAAAATATATTGTTACTAGGGTTACAGTTTATACATTTTTATTCCAAATATAATGTGTTTAAACATGTTTCTGTGATCATGGATGGTTACAGATAAGTTTTTTCAGTAAATCACTTATGTTAGTATTCTTAGGGTTCCCTCAAAAAAACAAAGGTCCAGTCAAAACAGTGGCTTCTGACAGGATCTGCTTGGTCAGTTAAATTTAAGTCAGAGATCTGCTTATAAGGAAGTAATGACTGTTTTTTGATATTCTGAAGGAGTAATCTCAATAGATCTTATCAAATGACACAGGAAAATCATGAAGGCTTATTGTAGAGAAGTGTTAAGAATATTGAAAGCTGCAATGTTGAGAAAAAGTCCAAGAAATTTGCACAGAGGGGTTTTTCCATCATAAAAATGTACCTGATGACTCTTCAAGGGTATCAAGGGCTGTCTTATTAGCGTTTTGCTAGGAAACCTTACCTGTACAGTCTACACTACTGATCTGGCTCCTTCAGACTGCTTTTTATCCCCAAACTCAAAGAATATTGAAAAGGAACCTGATTTGTGTTCATCGAAGATGCCAAAACTGTCATTTTACTTGGCATGAAATTATTTGGAGAAGGGTGAGGGAGATGGAAATAACACATTCATAAGTATATAGACATTGCTGTTGTTGATAAGTGACGTGGAATAGATTCTAACTCATAGAAACCTGTATAGGGCTTCCAAAGGGCAGCAGATGAGTTTGAACTGCAGACCTTGTCTTTTTCAGTCTCATGTTTATCCTACAATGACACATCAAGACAGACCTAGAAGCAACAGCTTCACATTTTCTGAGGAGTGACTGGTGGGTTTGAACCGCCAGCCTTGTAGTTAGCAGACCAGGGCTTATCCTACTGGTGATGTGGCACTGTTTAAAAGTGCTACGGTGCTAATCAAAAAATCAGAAGTTTGAAACCACCAGCTACTACCTGGGAGAAAACTGTGACAGTTTGTTTTTGTAAAGATTTACAGTCTTAGATATCCTATGCAGTTCTAGTCTGTCACATAGGGCTGTAATGAGTCAGAAATGACTTGACCGCATATGACAACAGAACACGTAACCATTTGAGGCATCAATGAATTTCTAACATAAACTTGTTGTTGTCAAGTGTCCTGCAGTCGATTCCAACTCAGTGTTACATTGTTAGGTGCCTTGGAGTCACTTAAAACACAGAGCAAACCAATGCACAACACAACAAAATACTACCTGGTCCCACATCATCCTCACAATTGTTGTTACAATTGAGCAAATTGCTGCTGCCGCTGTGCCAGTCCTGCTTGTTGGTGGCCTTCCTCTTTTTCCCTCATTGCATGAAGCATGACATTTTGCTCCAGGGACTGGCTCCTCCTGATAATATGCCTCAATTATGAGAGTAGAAGTCTCACAGTCTTAGAATCTAAGAAGCAATCTAGCTCTACTTCTTCCAACACAGATTTGTTTGTTCTTCAGGTAGTCCATCACACTTTTAATATTCTTCTCCAACACCAAAACTCAAATGCATCAATCCTACAGCCTTTCATATACATCGTCCAACTTTCACATGCATATAAAGATATTGAAAATACCATGGGTTGTGTTAGGTGCACCTTAGTCCTCTAACTAACATCAATTCTGTTGAACATTTTAAAGAGAAGTTAAAGCAAATGGAAGAAATGAGGAGGTAAAAGAGTTGAACAGAATATTTCAAAGGGCAGCTGAGAAGACAAAGTAAAGTATTCTAATGCAATATGCAAAGATCTGGAGTTAGAAAACCAAAAGGGAAGAACATGCCCAGCATTTCTCAAACTAAAAGAACTACAGAAAAAATTCAATACTCAACTTGGAATAAGGAAAGATTTGTTAGGCAAAATATTGAAAGGTAATACAGAAAATATTTTAAAAAGGATGGAAGGAATACACAAAGTCAATCTATTAAAATGAAATGGTCAGTGTTCAACCATTTCAAGAGTTAGCACATAATAAAGAGCCAAATATACTTAAGGAAGAAGTCCATGGTACACTGAAGGCATTGTAAAAGACCAAAGCTCCAAGAATTGATGGAATACAAATCTAAATCTTTCAACACATTGATGCAGCACTGGAGGTACTCACTCATCTATACCAAGAAATTTGGAAAACCATCTGATTGGAAGGGATCCATACTGTGCCCATTCCAAAGAATGGTGACCCAACAGAATATGGAAACCATTGGACAGTATCATTAGTATCACATACAAGCAAAATTTTGCTAAAGATAATTCAAAAACAGCTGCAACAGTACATAGACAGGGAATCTGTCAAAGGTTCAAGCTGGATTCAGACTAGAATGTGGCATGAGGGATATCATGGCTGACATCAGATGAATCTTGGCTGAAAACAGAGCAGATCAGACAGATGTTTACCTGTGCTTTATTGATTATGAAAAGGTTTTTGACTGTGTGGATATTGACAAGCTGTGGTTAACATTGCAATAAGTGTGTATTCCACTTAATTGTGTTCATGATGAATTTGTACATAGATGAAGAGGAGTCATTCAAATAGAACAAGGGGACACTGAATGGCTTAAATCAGGAAAGGTATGCATCAGGGTTGTATTCTTTCACCACACTTATTCAATCTGTATGCTGAGAAAGTAATCTGAGAAGCTAGATTATATGAAGAACATGGAATCCGGACTGGAGGAAGATTCACTAACAACCTTTGATATTCAAATGATGCAACCTTGCTTGCTGGAGGCAAAAAGAACTTAAAAATACATACCTTCAGTATGGGTTGCACCTCAATGTAAAGAAAACAAAAATTCTCACCACTAAACTAATAAATAACAGCCTGATAAATGAAGAAAAAAAAAAGACAGATGTCAAAGAATTTGCTTGCATCAAAACTTGAGGAAGCAGCAGTCAAGAAATCAAACAACGTATTGTATTAGGCAAAACTGTTGCACAAGGCCAACTCACAGCAACCCTATATAAAATTTCTGAGCAGTGACTGGTGGGTTTGAAACTCAGTCCATATGGTTAACAGTCCGGTGTTTATCCTAAAGCCACACACCAGGACTCCACAGTAACCATCAATAAATATGTTGGAGAAGAATAAATGTCTTCACAAGACACATCAAAACACCAAGCTCATAATTTTCTACATACAATATTCTAAATGTATTGGTGTCAGTGTTATATGTTCTCCACTAAATAATAGCACTGAATATATTTGATAAAGAAAAAAAAATTAGTATAAAATTTCAGTTTGTCTTACTATGGTGGCTTGAGTGCTACTGTAATGCTAGAAGCAATGACACGAGTAGTATAGATACCAGCAGGGTCACCTGTGGTAGACAGGTTCCAGCAGAGCTTCCAGACTAAGACAGTCCATGAAAAAGAAGAGAGGGGCCACATTTGAATGGTTTTCACTGAAACCTTATGGATAGTAGTGGAATATTGTCATATTTAGTGCTGGAAGATGAGCCACTCAGATTGGAATGCACTCAGAGTAAGACTAGGGAAGAGCTGCCTCAAAGTAAAACTGACCTTCGTAACAGAAATGAAACAGAGCTTTTTTGGAACTTCATTTCCTGATGGGGTACAAATCAAAATGGGAAGAATCAGATGCAAGCATACATTAAAAACTGGGGTGTGCAGTGTATGGGGTATGAACCTAGGAAAATAGGAAGTCCTCAAAAATGAAATGGAACACATAAGGATCGTAGGCATTTGTGAGCTGAAATGGAATGGTACTGGCCATTTGAATACGATAGTCATATGGTTTGCTATGCCCACAGTGACAAGTTTAAGAGGAATGGTGTCACAGTCATCATCAAAACTAATTTTTCAAGATCTATACTGAAGTTCAATATATCCATTTGTCCAAAAATAAGACCAATTAATACCACTATTACTCAAGTGGCACCAATCACTAAAGCCATTGATGATGAAATTTAACAAGTCTACCAACTTCTTCAGTCTGAAATTGTCATACAGGCAGTTAAGATGCTTTGGTATTTATTGGTGTTAGAATGCAATGATTGGAAACAAAGAGGAAGGATAAGTATTTGGCAAATATGGCCATGGTAATAGAAAAGATGCTGGAGATAACATGGTAGAATTTTGTAAGACCAATGACTTATTCTTTGCAAATACCTTTTTCAACAAAATAAAAGATGAGTATAATGAAATGTGGACTCTAGGTTTGGCACTGTAGCATAAATACTGGGCTTCAAACCACAAGGTCTGCAGTTCAAACCCACAAGTTTCTCCTTGGAAATTGTATACAGTGTTGCTACGAGTCAGACCTGACTTGATTGCATTTAACAACAACATAACGAAATGTACAAATATCTGGAGTTAGAAAATCAAATGAGTAGAACATTCTCAGCATTTCTTAGAATACATAGAATTGAAAATGACTACATCTATGAGAATAAATGATAAAGAAGCTCAAAGAGCTTAAAAGAAGGTCAGAGGTTAGCATTTGAATGGATCATCAATTACTCAAATGGAAGTTCAGTCTGAAGCTGAAGAAAATTAAAACAAATCCATGACAGTGAAACTATGACCATGAATATATCCCACCTGAATTTAGAGACCATGTCAGAAGAGATTGGTGTATTAGACACCAATGACAGAAGACCAGAAGAGTTGTGGTATGACATCAAAAAAGTCATGCATGAAAA